TGCTGTTTTGTTGGGGTGTTTCAACACAGGACATCTCGCGTGAATGATGCCTGTTGTTTGGAAAAAATCAGTCATTTGAAATTCCTTGCCCTGGTCTGATCTAATTCTTTTGATGGTAGTTTGGAATTGCCTTTGCGTTTGAGTGCATAAGGCAATGAGTTTTGGACGAGCTTCTGACTTTAGTTGAAGTAAGATTAACCAAGTCATGCGAGTGTGATCATCAACAATTATCAAAAAGTATTTGTAACCATCATAAGAAGGTACTGAGTTAGGGCCCCAAATATCAACATGAAGCAGTTCAAAAGCATAAGTGGTAGGAAAAGGAAGTCTCCTTTGCTTTGCAAAGTGACAAACATCACAAGGTTGGTCTTTCTGAGTTTGAATGGGTGTACAAAAGGAATTGAGGTGTGGAATCTTAGAATGGGAAACATGTCCTAATCTAAAATGCCACAGATCAAATGAGGGAGAGCTAGTTGTTGAGATGTATTTAGGTCTACTAGGAGCATCTAAGTAGTATAGGCCATTGAGCAATCTAGCAGAACCAGTCATTTTCATCTGCTTAAGGTCCTGTATGAGACAAAGGTTGGAATGAAAGGTTAAACATAGTGAGTTGGTTGTGGTTAGCTTGCTGACAGAAACCAAATTAAAGGAAAAACTTGGAACATATAAAACATTTTGCAAAACCAGGTATTCATTGAAAAAGGTTTGACCATAGTGGGTGGCTTGGATTTGCTCTCCAGTGGGAAGAGTGATGTAAACATTGTGCAAGAGAGTGGTATTCTCAAGATGATCCAAGGAGCAAACAATATGGTCAGAAGCTCCTGTATCAAGGATCCATCTGTCTTTCTGATGTGAACTAGCATTCAAGACTGGTTTAGTAAGAGAATAGTTGGTAGAGACAAAGGCAGCAGCAGAATAGGATGGAGTGGATTTCTGGGATTTGAGCAAAGTCATGAGGCTATCATAGTCTGATCTGGTAAGCTTGACTTCATCAGGTTGCTGGGAGGTGGAAGCTGCATTGATTTGACCTACCTCTGCCATAACCTGGATTGGGATTTTTGGGAACATAATCTGGAGGGAAGCCATGCTTCCTGAAGCACTTATCCACTGAGTGGCCATGTTTGCGACAGAAAGTGCACTCAATGACTTTGCCTAGGACAGACACAGGAGGCCTAGGAACCAGACCAGGTGGCCAACCATGTTTGTGGTAACAAACATCTTCTGTATGTCCTTCCTTCTTGCAAAAGGTACGATAAGGCCTTTTGCCTGGAGGAAAGGAACGTCTATTGACAGCCAAGGCTGTGGCCTCTGCAGTGGCAGTGGCTACCAACTTGCTTGTCTGGGTTCCATATAACTGTCGCTCATGTTGGAGCATTCATTGAAAAACTCTATTGATAGTAGGTAATTCTTCTCCAAGTAAGACTTGTGAGCGAACAGTAGAGAAATTTTCATTGAGACCTCGAAGGAACTTAATGACATAGTTGGTGTCATGATACTCCATGACCCTTTTCATAGCTCTACAAGTTAGATGGCTAGTAGGCGTGCAATCACATGGAAGAAGGGGTTGGTAGTTTTCTAATTCATCTCGAAGTGTAATAACTCTGCCATAATAATCAGTAATCGTTTGGTTACCTTGTTTCAGGCTGGAGAGAGCTTCTTCCAGTCCAGCAACCCTGATGATATCGCCAGAACCATATCTGGTCTGCAAGCTACGCCATGCTTCAAGGGTTGTTTTGGTGGAGAGGATTGTTTTCCTGATCTTAGAATCCACAGATTGTTGAATCTAGCTTAATATCATGACATTGTTGCGAATCCAGGCTCCATGCTTGGGATCTGTTTCAGCAGGCTGGGGAATGCTGCCATTGATGAAGCCCAGCTTGTTCTTGGCTGCAAGGGCATTATACATCCCTCTGCTCCAGTCATTGTAGTTGAAAGAGTTAAGCTTCTCGGCAGCGAGAAGAGATCCAGGTTGCTCAGAAGCATGAAGGAAGTATGGATCTTCCAACTGGTAAACGATTTGATGTGTTTGTTGTTGTTGAGGCTGTTCCACATTGTTTTCTGGCTGCGGATTTGCAGGTTGGTGGTAAGCCATTGGAGGCGGCGACTAGGGTTGTTGAGGCTCTGATCCATAACAAAGAATTTGAGAAGTGAAAACCCTAGAACTTGTCTTCATTTCATTTGGATCATTACATATATAGGCAACAGATTCACTACAGGACAGTGAGGTGAACTGCTGCCATAGATTGTTTGTTCTTTTGCTTGAAAAGGAAACAAAGGTTTGCTTGAAAGAAAAGAAAATAGAAAACAAACAATATCAGAACGCAGCGTAGAGGAGAAACGGTGCGGATTGGCGAAGTGAGCTTCAAGTATCAGAACGACATCGTATTGGTCGTCTTCTTCAACCTTCTTCACGAAAAAGGGGGTGACCATTGCATTTGAAAATTTTAATCTTCGTCTGCTGTTAGTCTCGCAAGTCGACAGTCGCATGACTCGCCCCCTTCCCCTCGCCTCTGTCTCTCTCTTCACAAGATGCCTCTTCATCTGGCAATGACACTTGAGTACATTTGGCCTCGTTTTGTTCCACTCCGAGAACAGCTCCCCGGTTCGAGAATGATTGGCTAAGCATATCGTCTTAACCAAGAAAACTCAATCTAATTGGTAAAAGAAAATGCCTTTAATCTTGGTTTGGTTTTTAATGTAGAAAGTGGACGAATTTGGCATTTCCTAGTGCTGCAATTTCCTACTTTTCTTCCAACAACCTTTCTATCTATATCCAAGAGAAAGAAGCAGTAGGAGATAGTTCCCAAAATGATTTCTCTTTGATTTAATACAAAGTAGATCCAAGGCATCCACCACCAAGACCCCCTTTTGTTAATAGATTCCATATATGTCTAGTATTAAACACCACATTCCAAGTTTTCAAACATCTAATTTCCAGCCCCCCCCCTCCTTCTTTGGAATAGCTAAGGATTCCCAAGATATAACAGTTTTAGTTCTTCTGGAACCCTCTTCAATCCAGGGAGTGAAGCTTGCTGGGGCCCTACCAAATGTGCCAACCTTTCATGTGCAGCTTCACTCTCCCCTGCACAGAACAACTAGCTTTTTCTGGATTGAATCTCATCCCTGATAGTAGGTAGAATCTCTTCAATAACCCATTAGAGAAGATCAATAGGTCATCTGGAAATACCATATGGGTGATCCCAAGCTGCTTGCATTTGAGATGATAGGGTAGACCTCCTGTGTATGCAGATTTGTTATTGAAGAAAGGTTAAATTCTTCTTATTTGGACTCGATATATTTATACGATTACCATGCTTGGCTATCATACTGCATTAATTGGCTTCCATACTTGGCAGCTTGATAAGAGAGAACACAAAACACGATACAATGATGAGAAATCCTTCCAAACATAACTATGATATCAAAGAATGAAACTCATGATTTGTGTAGCTTAATGGTAATTTGACCAAATTGGATTTGAGTGCCAAAATCCAACTATGAGGTCCAAGGAACATACCTCCTACTAGTTAACCTTAGAAGATTCCATTGCCAAATTTCACACTGACCTTTATGCAATAACAAACTATTGGACAGGCTTAGGTTTACATGCGGTTCGAGTTTAGTAATTTTAATCATCTGATTCATGTTCTTCGATTTTGAAAAGTAAATCCAAATCCACGAAAACCCTAACGGATTGTTTACGATTGGCTTGGGTCGGGTGGTCAATACTTTTTAAAGTGGAAACTCAACTCAATACTAAAAAATGCAATTATTTTGCACCATCACAAGAAATGATTATATAACCAATTAAAGTTTCAAGCAAGTAAACCGAAACGAAAAGTATCACAATGCATGGAAGTTACTTCCTGGATGTTAGTGAAGTGAAATTTCCTTCAACATATGTCCAGTACTTTCCATAAATATTTATCGAAATACAGTAAAAGGTTATTCATTACAAGTTAACACATCCATAATATGTTCTATTTCTAAATTATACCCAAGCAAACATACCACATGAACCATAACATGTATGCAATCTATATTCAAGTTTTTCAATTGAAAACGCCACAAATACGTTATGGATACGAAGTCTTAAAACAATAGTTGTAATATGAGTTGAGTCAGATATCAACGGATTGCATAACCCAACACTCAATCCAAAAGAGGCCGGTTAAAAAAAATATCATCCAACTTTAAACCTTAATTTAAAATGTTAATTACGGGTTGGATCTTACACAGATGAGACTAGAGGCCGGAAGACTCGTTTTCGAAAGCCCTAACGGGATACTATCGGCCTGATAAAAGAGCTTCATAGTAAACAAACATATATATGGGCTTAGCTCAAATATGTTTATCTTTTTGAGGAAAGGCTTAGGCTAGGGATGGCAATTTACCCACCCATGGGTAATTTTGCCCAAACCCAAGTAGACCCATTTAATATGGGTAGGGTTTGGGTGATGTGTGTATGGATTTGGGTTAGATATGGATATTATCTAAATGGGTATGGGTTGGATATGGATATCCATTTATTTGAGAGTGTTTTAACTACACATGCAAAAATTGGACTTATTTGTAAAACTTAAAAAATTTAGGTACCAAAATGTAAGATCAAAAAAATTTAGGTACCAAAACGTAATTTTCCATCGATATTTTGAGGACTTATATGCAAAAAAAATTAAATTTAGGTACTAAATATGCATATCTATTAAGTTTAGGTACCAAACTGTAATTTGTATTTGGGTATGGGTACAAACCCAAATCCAACCCAAAGTAAATGGGTATGGGTACAAACCCATCAAACTTTACCCATATCCATATATTTGGATTTCATACCCAACCCAATTGGGTTGGATAGTAAAATACCCATGGGTATGGGCAAAATTGCCATCCCTAGCTTAGGCCCATTATGTTGAGATGGAAATTGGAAAGAAAAAAAAAACTGATTCCAAACAATAAAAACTAGAAATCCAAAACGCACGAGTTTTAATCTTCTTCTCTCACTTTACCCTAACACCCTCAAACCCTCCAGTGCCCAAGAATCTCACTCTTCTCCTCCTCCTCTCAGAGAACAAAAAAACCAGACTGCGCTCCGTAACGGCTGCAATCCCAGCCGCTGCCGCCAGCGCAACCACAACCACAACCACTGTCATCGTCGCTCTCCCAAGGTCAATCGTCTCCCTCCTCCTCCGTTTACTTTCGCCACTGCTCCGAGATCGGTTTCACTGATCGGAGCATTTTTATGGTTTCTCTCGTCGCCTGTCGACTACGGCCTTGTTGCGGCTGAGGTGCGCGCTTGTATTTCTTCTCTTCTTGCGATTACATCTCAAGTTTGTGTGTATTCGTTTTCTGGCAGGTCGGAGAGGTTTTGATTTTGTAGCGCCATGTCGAATTTTGCCAAGCCGGAGAACGCGCTTAAGCGCGCTGAAGGTTTGTTTCTCTCATTTCCTTTGGAAGTTCTTAATCAATCTCTAAAGTATGTGGATGGTGAATCTAGGTTGTGGTATAAATGCCTCATTCAGTTGTTTCTTGCATGGGAAGTATGGAATTTGTGCCTTTATTGAGTTGGATGTTGTAGGAGATGGATTGGACTTCCTATTGTGTGAAATGTGCTTAGGAGGGGTAGTAATGATGGATTGGTTTTGATTATCGAATTTTTTTATCTTGGTGTTGATTTAGTAATTTTTCTATGATTGAAAAGTCATGGTGTTGTTTTTGTTATTCTGTGGCTTGCAGAGCTGATAGCTGTTGGACAGAAGCAAGAGGCTCTCCAGACGCTTCACAACCTGATAACCTCGAAGAGGTACCGAGCATGGCAGAAGACACTTGAGCGGATCATGTTTAAATATGTTGAGCTGTGCGTCGAGATGAGAAGAGGGAGATTTGCCAAGGATGGGCTGATACAGTATCGCATAGTGTGTCAACAAGTGAATGTGAACTCGTTGGAGGAGGTAATCAAGCACTTTATGCATCTCTCCACAGAGAAAGCTGAACAGGCTCGAACTCAAGCACAAGCACTGGAGGAAGCTCTCGATGTTGATGATCTCGAAGCTGATAAAAGACCGGAAGATCTGATGCTTAGCTATGTCAGTGGGGAAAAGGGGAAGGACAGGTCTGACCGTGAGCTTGTTACCCCTTGGTTCAAGTTCTTGTGGGAGACCTATAGAACTGTGCTGGAAATTTTGAGGAACAACTCAAAATTGGAGGCATTATATGCGGTAACATTCCTGCCTTAATTGTTGTTTATTGGGTCTCCGGGTGCTCTATGGAAATTTGTATGGTCCAACTGAATAATGCGCATATCTTGTCACGTGCAGATGACAGCACATCGTGCATTTCAATTCTGCAAACAATACAAGCGAACAACCGAGTTTAGACGGCTGTGTGAAATTATCAGAAACCATCTCGCCAACCTCAACAAGTATAGAGATCAAAGGGACCGACCTGATCTGACTGCTCCTGAAAGCTTGCAGATGTATCTCGATACAAGATTTGAACAGCTCAAGGCTGCCACTGAGCTTGGGCTCTGGCAGGTATGCAATCTGATTTATTCCGTGTCTGTTGATTGAGATATCCATTTCTTACTTTACTTTACTAAGGTACTATTTTACTTTTCATCTATAGGAAGCGTTTCGTTCTGTTGAAGATATTCATGGCTTGATGTGCATGGTGAAGAAGACACCCAAGGCATCCTTGTTGGTTGTCTACTATGCTAAGCTGACTGAGGTCTTTTGGATCTCGTCGAGCTATCTCTATCATGCTTATGCCTGGTTCAAGCTTTTCAGCCTTCAGAAGAGTTTCAACAAGAACTTAAGCCAGAGGGATCTGCAGTTGGTTGCTTCAGCTGTTGTCTTGGCGGCTTTAGCAGTGCCTCCATATGATACTCGTCGTGCCTCTCATGTGGAACTTGAAAATGAGAAGGAGCGTAATTTGAGGATGTCAAATCTCATTGGATTCAATCTGGATCCCAAAGCTGAGAGCAGAGAAGTGGTATTGTGATTAATACGTGTTTATGTGGATTTTATTGTTGTTTTGCCTCACACTCACAGATTTTCTCTTCTTCTGCAGCTTTCAAGGGCAGCTCTCCTCTCCGAACTGGTAATTTGAGCTTGGTATTTTTTTAATAGTTCTGAGCTGTTATGCTTTCCCCTCTACGAGTGAATTTTGGGAGTGGTAACCAATTGATTTGTAGTTGTCGTAGATTGGGATTATGTATTTAATTCCCTTATGTATCCAGGTTCTTATTCTGAAACTTGTGTCACGTTATCATCTTTTGACATTATGAACAGGTGTCCAAGGGTGTGCTGAGCTGTGCGACTCAAGAAGTGAAGGATATTTACCATCTTCTAGAGCATGAGTTCCTTCCAGTCGATCTTGGTGCAAAGGTGCAGCCTTTGCTGTCCAAAATCTCTAAACTTGGGGGAAAGCTTGCTACAATATCTTCTCTGCAAGAGGTTCAGCTATCCCAATATATCCCTGCCCTCGAAAAGCTTGCTACTCTCAGGTTGCTCCGACAGGTACCTATCCTTATCTCTCGTCCTAGTTCTATATTATCTTTGCAAAGATAGTCATCATGACAATTAAACTCGTTCTGTTCTTTCAGGTCTCTCAGGTGTACAGCACAATGAGGATCGAGAGTTTATCTCGTATGATCCCCTTCTTTGGGTTTGCTGTTGTGGAGAGAATTTCTGTTGATGCAGTTAAACACAAGTTCATTGCTATGAAAGTGAATCATATGAAGAGTGTTGTAATGTTTGGAGATGCGGTAATCTTCTTGTCTTGGTCTGTATAATTAGCACTGTTTTGTCTCTCTTGCAGCAATATAGTGTCTCTATTTTATTTTTTATAATATGGTTGCATGGAACTTCTTTCAGCTCCTTGAATCTGATGGCCTCCAAAACCATTTGGCTTTGTTTGCCGAATCCCTGAACAAAGCGAGGTCCATGATATATCCTCCTGCGAAGAAATCATCAAAGCTAAGTGACATTTTACCTGCACTCGGGGAGACTGTCGACAAGGAACACAAGAGACTTCTTGCTAGGAAGTCTATAATAGAGAAAAGAAAGGAAGAACAAGAACGGCAGCTTCTCGAAATGGTAGCGACACATTTTGTATTATCTTATTCAATACCCTCCTGTGCCGTCATTTGGTTGCGTGTATAACAATAAGATGATCTTTCACAGGAACGAGAGCAAGAGTCGAAAAGATTGTCTGAACAGAAGAGAACAGAGGAGCAGGAGCAAAAGAGGCTCGCGGCAGAGTACGAACGCCTCAAGAACCAGAGGATCCTTCGGGAAATTGAGGAGCGCGAACTTGAAGAGGCACAGGCATTTCTCGAGGAAACTGAGAAGCGTAGCAAGAAGAAGGGCAAGAAAGCTGTTGTAGAAGGAGTAAGGACAAAATCCTTTTCATTTAGTGTTTCTTGCTGCATTGACAGTTCCATCTATGTACTAGTCTCAATTGTACATGAATTTCTTGTAGGAAAAGGTGACGAAGCAATCCTTGATGGAAAGGGCTCTGAACGAGCAGCTTAGGGAGAGGCAGGAAATGGAAAAGAAACTGCAGAAGCTGGCTAAGACAATGGATCATCTGGAGCGGGCTAAGAGAGAAGAAGCAGCTCCATTGATTGAGGCTGCCTTCCAGCAACGCCTCGTCGAAGAGAAGGCCCTACATGAACGCGAACAACAGGTAAAACTATCTCCCTGATTGAGCTTTATATAATTTTTCATGTCTTCACTTTCTGAAGTTTGTTGAATCCTTAATTGGCTTCATGAGACTTCACTATGTATAATCATGTTGAGTGGTTGCAGCTGGAGGTTGAACTGAGCAGGCAGCGCCATGATGGAGACCTCAAGGAGAAGAACAGGCTTATCCGCATGATGGATAATAAGGTAATCACACTGTCAATCAACACTGCACTCTGCTACTCAGCTTGTTTTAGAGGTGCTGACACCACCAAATTTGTTGGCCATACGCGCAGACGATTTTCCAGGAGAGAGTCATTGCCCGTCGGCAAGCAGAGTTTGACCAAAGGCAAGCAGCAAGGGAAGCGAGGATCATTCAAATAATTCAGACGAGGAGACATGAGAGGGAGATTCAAAGGAAGAAGATATTATATATCAAGACTGAGCAGGAGAGGCTCGCTAGACTCAAGGAGGAAGAGGAAGCTCGTAAGCACGAAGGTAAACCACGTTTAATATCCTCATTATGCGTTTAGAGCATACGTCCCCTTCACACCTGATGAGAGTAATCGATTTGGTATATGCAGAGGCTGAGAGGCGAAAGAAGGAAGAAGCTGAGCGCAAGGCAAAGCTGGACGAGCTAGCGGAGAAGCAAAGGCAAAGGGATAGAGAGCTGGAAGAAAAAGAGAGATTGAGGAGAGAAGCTCTATTGGGCCCCAGGCCTCCCGCCATTGCCGCCGAGGTCCCAGCTGCTGCTCCAGCTGCTGCTGCTGCGGCTGCTCCAGCTGCTGCTGCTGCGGCTGCTCCAGCTGCTGGTGGAGGTGCTGCTGCACCACAGAAATACGTCCCGAAGTTCCGTCGTGGAGGTGGTGGTGAGAATCCCCCCGCAGCCAGACAGCAGGCTCCTCCTCCAGAGGCGGAGCGCTGGAGCAGTGGTGGTGGAGGCAGAGCTAGGCCTGGGGCTCTGTCGGAGACGACTGACCGCTGGACCCCTGGTGGCTCTAGGCAGGATCCAGACCGACGTGGCAGCGGTGGCGGCCCAACAGACACCTGGCGCCGTGGCGGTGGTGGAAGCAGCAGCAGCGGAGGTGGTAGTAGTGCTTCGGGGTCCGGCACTTGGTCATCTTCTAGGCGCTAAGGTTGAAAGCCATTGATGCATCCTCTGCTGGTGTTTTTCTGCGGAGGGAGTCGGAACTCGAAAGTGATTTTCTCGCTGCGTACTGAAAGGAAGTAATAACTTGCTGCTTTTGTTTTCTGTTCTAAAGTTTTAAGGGACTTGTTGCCAAATAGCTGAAGATCTGGCGGTTTGTGTTTAAATGTTGATGTTTTTCGTTCAATTAAAATGGCAATGGTGAGGTGAATACACTAGTATTGGAACCTCGTCGACTTTTTGTCGCTTATATTTGAACTTGTTACCATTTTTTGTTCTTTTACCCCCCAGAGTTAACAGAGTAGTTTGAAAATAATTAGAAAATGTATGATCCAGCTTAGCCCTCCTCCCAAATGAGAAATTTGGACCAATAATAAAGTAACAAGTAAATACAGCTTTGGAATTCTGAATATTACTTGGTTGGAACACAGTCATCGCTGGTTTGGTTTATGTGATTGTTTCATTTAATTTATGTGATTGTTTAGTTATGAATACTACAATGCTTGTATTCATTCATCGTTTTTTTATGTACAGACAATACATGTATTATTTACTTGATGTGACAGAAATAATCATTTATTATCAATGATTGTACAATCTCAGATAAAAGATTTTAGCTGTGATTATTGGGATTGTATAGTTGATATTGTTTTCTTCCATCATTAATTTTTAGAAATTATCTTTTCCATTGAAAAGGAGGGGGCACAAGTGACATTTCCATTACAAGTGACTTTCCTTTTTACTTATTGAAAACATACACATATATATATACACACACGTAATATATAATACATGTATAATATAATGCATGTATTGATCACAATACACTGATTTAACAATCAAAGAAACCAAACGACTCTTAAGATCGAGTCTTCAAAACGCATCATCCTTGAAACCATCTCGCTCTTACTAACTGTGATATGCGATAAATGTTTGCCTTCATTGAAGAAATCTCCTAGAAATTGAGTTTTAAGAAACAACGATATTTGAGCATAATTGAAAAGAGAATTGACCATTTGGAGGAAGAAATTGAGAGAGAATTGGAGAAGATTTTGGGAGAACAAAAAGAAGGTCAGGTAGCAAGATTGTTATAGGGATCAGATCGTTATAGTTGGTGCTCGAGGAAGACAAGTATACCAGTCCATACCGGTCTTTATTGTTACTAATTGTTTGTATGATAAATTTGGTTGACTTTATATTATTCGAACTTGATATTTACTTGTACCTGCTGTTATGTTGGTTATGTTTTTGTTTCTTGGATTGCGTCGTATTTGCTAGTTGAATGTTCGTTGTGTAGTCCAGCGAATGAACTTTTGTCTTCATAAATAGACCTATGAAGGTAACGTTTTTCATTATGGATTGCGTCGTATTTGCTAGTTTTTTTTTTTTTTGGTAGGACGTCGTATTTGCTAGTTGAAAGAACATATCAAATACCGAAGCACAATTATTAGTTTTGGATGTAATGTTAAATAGGGGAATTCGTCCTTAAAATTACTATTGATCGTCCTAAAAAATAACAAAGTTACACTTTTAACATTTTGGCATTTTTAGCAAACAAACATCACTTTAACTAAAAAAAATGAAAAACACTTAATTTCCCACACTCTCGAATTCATCGTTGACATTCTCGAGTCGTAATCGTTGAGAATACGTCTGAATCATGAGTAGCGACTCCGACGAGGTAAAAAACTGATTTTTTTTTCAAAAAAAATTCTAAAACCCCTCAACCGAAGCCAATTTTCGGTTGTACCATGGCTCAACCTAAGGAAATTTTCGGTTGTACCATGGACCAACCGAAAATTGGCTTCGGTTGAGCCATGGTGCAACCGAAGGTGATTTTCGGTTGGTCCATGGTACAACCGAAAATTGCCTTAGGTTGAGCCATGGTACAACCGAAAATTGGCTTCAGTTGAGGGGTTTTGGGTTTTTTTGGATTTGTTTGGTTTATATCAATAATTTTCTATTCTTTTACTACGATTTATGATTCAGTCCATAAGATAATTTGTTGAATTTTAGTTTATATAATTTTTTAGATTTATGGAAGGGAGGAGTTGTTTGTTTTGTGTTTGATTTTGAAATTCAAAATGATTAATTTGGTAAATTACATATTAAGTTAGGACGATAGTTAGTAATTTTTAGGACGACCTTTAACCATTCGGTTAAATAATGGGCCCGCGGCACCTGGTTTGGAGCGAAGAAAGGCAGCTTTCCTAAAACCCGCCTTCTGCACTTCGCCCTTCGGTTCTTCTTGACGAAGTCCTTTTGCCACAGGCGAGGAAAGCTGTTGCCTTCGAATAGAAAGCTTCGCGACAGTGGGGGAGAAACAAGTAAACAGCAATGAGCTCACTAGCTTCGAGATTCTCTAGCTTGTTACGGGTCTGTCGTACCAGCTCCCTCGTTTCTTCTTCAGGTCGCCTCTCTACCTTTTTACTCATCTGAATTCGCTTCCTGGACGATTATGTAGATTTTTTCGAGTTCAGGACTGAGTGAAAATGGTCGGTAGTTGGGTTTATCTGTGGGTTCGGGTGGAAGTGGGTTTTGTTGACAATGCATAGTTGTTAGCTTTGAGTGTGATTGGCTTAGTGTAGTTTCGTTGGTGAATTTTGTCGAACATTTGGTCTGCGATAATTTTGTGACCTTTTTGGAGCGTTATTGGCGAAGGTTTTCAGTGGAAATTCGTTGCGAATCGTCGTCTGTGTGCTCATTCGGATTGTGATTGCAGGGGATTGTGCTCAGAAAAGCTTGAGGGCGTGGTGCTCCACCCTATCGTTCGATGATGTAAATGATAACAATGAGGCGAAGGCTGAGGAAGTGGAAGCCGACTTTGATGACTTCATTGGTGAAAAGCTGCCTGATATGCAACTCCAAGGTGTGGACCCTGGTAAAGGCTGGGCATTCCGTGGTGTACATAAGGTATGTAATGGGAGAATTGTTGCAGTGTTCCCCTGTTTGATTGTTGATGGGTGTTTGAGGGGCTCTCACACTGAATAAACAGAATCCAAATGGTGCATCGAGCTTTTTTCTTTAAGTTCAAATGATAAGTCTAAGGAGCTGAACCGATAAATTGTTTTTTTTTAAACAGGCCATAATCTGTGGGAAAGTGGGGCAAACTCCTCTGCAGAAGATCTTGAGAAATGGTCAGACTGTAACAATCTTCACCGTTGGAACTGGTGGGATGTTTGACCAGAGACTGTTAGGTGCCAAAGACCTTCCAAAGCCGGTGCAATGGCATCGAATCGCTGTGCACAATAATGTTCTTGAGGCTTATGCAGTTCAACAACTCGCCAAAAAGTATCTCTATGAGAAGTCAAATCTCCTTTATTTATAGATGTTTGCCTGAGGTTTTATCTTGTCTGATAATAGGATCTTGTCCTGCAGCTCTAGCGTTTTTGTCGAGGGAGACATTGAAACTAGAATTTACAATGACAGCATCAGTGGAGAAATAAAAAACATACCAGAAATATGTGTTCGTCGTGATGGTACCTTTTCCGTTAAAGCTTTCTTCCTCTTATTGCATTTAAGGCCTGTTTATGTTAGCCTTAGGTGGAACTTCTGGTATAGCTACTATTAGAACTGGTTGTGTTCTCGAATTAAGGGTGAGAAAATGGTTTGGTTAAACCCAAAACAATCATATACCATGGTTTTTGTTAACTAAAACTGAATCACTTAGTTTTGGTTCTTGATACTTTTTTTTATAAGCCAAATTCTTTTGATGTCTAAAGGTCACTCTCCTATTGATAAAATTTCTTCGAGATTGATAAATTCTTATCCAAAATTACAGAAGCTTGTTGTTATTGAAGGATGTACCTCATGTTGAACTTCTGCTATAAAATTATTGGTTTTGATTTACCAAACTTCTGCTTAGTTGTTGTTCCGGTTTCACAAATACATTTTTCGGGCTTTAATTACTGAACCCCTATCTGAAACTATGACTAGCATAGGGAGTCTTGAGTGCTAGTGTCCGAGGAGACTTCAGTATGCAGAAATATATACAGAACATGCATTCCTACATCAAATGAATAGCTTCTGGAGTGACATATGTTGCCTCGTAGTATTGACATTGTATCAATATGAAATGCAGGTAGAATTCGTCTCATAAAAGGAGGAGAAAACAAGAGGAACTTCGATCTTTCCTTTGCGGATCTTCGTAAGTTATCGTCAACTAGTTTTAGAAACTCAGTACCATGTGCCATGAAATACACCTTAAAATTTATTGGTCCCTTAGTTTTGTAATTGGAGCCTCCCACTTTTTTTTGTTGCAGGAGAAGGATTGTTTAGCTGATTGTTCCACTTTCTTATTCCGGGTGATAGTCAAACTAACACAAGGAACAATGACAGATCTAGCTAACTTTGCTGTAAGACTTAGAGAAAAATTTGGAATAACTGTTTGTGAGGATTTTTCATCATCATCAATTAATCTCCCTCCCTCTCTCTCCCTCCCTCCCTCTGTGCTTAGTTAGCGAAGGGCTTCAGACCTAGACCTTTGTGAAAGAATTCCATGTCTATAATTATCTCTCACAGCTTGAGTAGTAAAACCATATTTGCTGATGGTGACGGAATTTGGTACTTGTGCAGTGATTCACTAAGATGGCAATATCATCTACAGTTCTACACCAACTGTGATCCTGATAATGGTGAAGCTGTAATTCTACCTTCACTCAGTGTTCTACAGTATGCAAGACCTAATCTCCAGTAACTTTAAAGTCGGCACTGGTTCTGGTTTTCCATTTATTATGCAATAATCTTCTAACTTGATTTATTCATCAACTTTTGCTCTGTGTCAAATGTTTCGGTCTAATTGGTCTATACCATCCAATCCAGATATTAGGGTTCTTATTCTGGAGCCAAGTGGCTATATGCAGATGTTAGAGATGTGGGGATTTGTCGTTAAGCTTTCTGAAGGCTTTTATTTTATTTTTTATCAGCAAATGAAAGATTGGCAAATTGCAGGAATCTCTCTCGCATTCAATGGCATTGTCAACTAGGAACCTTGACAACCTTAATTATTGGTTGGAGTGTCTGCAATTAGTTGCCTTTCTGAAAAATATAGCAAGTTTGTCCTTTCCTCTCAAATGAAGATAGTTTATTCTTGCTATGGGAAACTAAACCACTAAAGTTGTATAGTGGAAGGCTGGAAGCTCCTAGAGAAAAGGGGCAAATGCCCCATTAGGCCATTTAAGTCTAAACAAGGAAAGTGGAAAGAGCCCTTTGTTTTTAGTCTTTATTTTCCCACTTTCTCTGGTCTTTCATGACCTTGAAAGGTAAGGTCTCTGCCACTGTCAAAGGATGAGGCCTTTCTTGTGTTTATTATTTACAGTCTGTCTGTTTGCTCTGTTCAGTATCATGTTTCATTGAAGAGGGCGATTATAAACCAATGTTGTATGCGAAAGATCAGACTTCAGAGGGCAATCCAGTAAACCTATCATCCATTACCAAGCAAGCACTTAGTTTCATCTCATAATTCATGGGTTAGTTGGCTTGTTGAACTGGCTAATTAGCTTCCAAGTTCATGGAAAGTATTTTAAGATTAGTAGTATGTCACTTTAGAATTTCCTTGGCATCTTCTATATGACAAATGTCCACCCACGGGTTGGCTGCTAATGCACTGATACAGGTCTCACTTTCCCTTTTCTTGTGTTTCTCATTCTTTAGGAATTTTTTATTTTCTATAATCATGAAGTGCCCGTTTCATTGTTATCCCAAACCACTTAGCTAACCTTACTCAGTTTGTATAAATAGTGTTGTGTTCTTGGCTTCAGTACTTCACATCCCCTTTCCCCTTTCCATATCACAACAATGTTTAGGATCCTTTTATCAGCCTTTCTTCTCACTTCAATAACTTACATGTCGTATGTCGAGGCATGTCCGCGATGTGGTAATGTGGAAGTCCCTTACCCTCTCAGCACTAGAGATGGTTGTGGAGACTCTAGGTATAAAATCTATTGCAACAACGGTGTCCTAGAGTTCATGTCGGCCGAAGGATTTTACTATCGGATCCTAAGCATCGACTCATTTGCTTCCAGGCTCGTCTTAAGCCCACCTTTGATACAGAGCCATTCATGTTCATCTTCCGACCTCGGGGTAGGAGGCGTTAGACTTGATGGTGGTTCGCCCTTCAACATCTCAACCCGTAACACAATCATGTTGTTTAACTGCTCCGCCAACATCCTTTTGTCGCCCCTGAACTGTTCCTCCAATAGCTTTTGTCGCAAGTTTGAAGCTCTAGATGTGGAGAGTGGATGCAAGGACACCCTTTGTTGTCATTACTTGAAAGATTCATCTATGAATTCTCACAAGATTAGGGTTCGATTTGGAGGGTGCACTGCTTACACATCGGTGATCGATGTGAGGCCCAACGATCCTGCTGAGGCGTGGAATTATGGCATTGAGCTGCAATGGGCGGCTCCTCACCTATGACCTTTGTCGTGTCTCAGCTTGAACCAACTTCATCTATATCATTAATCTTGTTCTCTGCTCCAAGCGTTTGAGATTGTGTATTTTTCCATGTCCATGTTTCACCGTACTATTGTGTTTATCTTGTTTCCAGCTTCATTGTAATGCATTGATTTCAAAGTTCGAATCTACAATGACCGGTTATAATGTGGTATCGAAAAGATGTTGCTAGTTTGAAATAAAAATTATGCTTGAGGATTGACCATATGAAAGTTTTTGTGGGTGAATTAAGGAAACAGAAAGTCTACTTGTATTATTAGTTTATAGATTGGCCAGTTTTATCATTTACATCATATAATCAAAGAAAAGCCAATGGTTGACTACTTCCACTCATCACTCAACAATATGATAATACGGCCTCACTGTACATGCATTTGATTGGGAATGAATGATTGATGGAGACACCATCAATTCATTGGGTAAGAATTCGTTCTTTTTATGCACATACTTGCAAGTTATGCTATATTAAGCACAAACAAGTCGATGGAGAAGTCTTTCTTAAGCAGCTGGAACTCATTGAACTAGAGTTTTTCTAAAGCAACCCAATAACTAGGAAGTGTATGCTATTTATTCAATGGACAAGGCTGTCTAAAGCAGCTGCAACTCATTGGAGAAGGCTTTCTTGAGCAACCACTAGCATATTGGTGACCCTATAGTTTAAGGTTTACTAGTAAAATCGTTAAAACCCGAACTATGCACTATGATGTAATGAATCATGTGAAAGAATTATGATTTTGATATTGGCTCGTGTCTTCCCAATTCAATCCAAAGGAGGAAGCTTTCTGCATGCTGTGGTGGTAAAAAAATATATCAGCAAAAGCCATCCTTGAAATTCTTTACTTACAAATTCTTCATCAAGCTTTTAGCAATTCAATCAATCGAATTATGACAAAAGGCAAACCCACATCTCTATCTATCCTATCCAGACAGAAGGCAAACTCAGTCCTCTGTTACAAAGGGTGAGGGCACAAACCGGGCACATCAACAGCAGCACAAACGACTGGGGGGAAAACAAAGTAAAATGATCAAAGTACCTATTCCATCTAAAACCCTACTCATTTCTTACACATTGGATTACAAATCAATACGAGAAGCTCGCAACAAAAAGAAATCAAGCATGCTCCCGTCTAGGAAAAAAAGAAATAACATTTGGCGGTTATGTACTCTTGTTACCAGACATTGATTGATTTGCTTTGCTTACACAGTCACTGTGTGTCTGCTTGGCCGCTTCCCTTCCATTGCGTCTTTCTTCTTCCGACAATTAGTGCACAGGAAGGGACCTTCCCATGGCTTTGATCCAGGTGCAAAAAAAGGACCCGAGTTCACTGAGAAACCATCTCCTGGCGTTTGGTCCACCTGGCAGACAGCACATCTATAGAGGCCAGCGTTTCTGTCTGAAGGCAAATCTTTCCCCAGTCTGCAATTCACACCATTCAAAACGACAGAAGCATGAGTGACGAATAACTGAACATAGAACTAGGGGAATAGGGGTAGCATTGGTTTCAGAACACAACTATTCCTTGTTCGGTTAACCAAAATTTCAACCACATTGGACAATATCCGTCGAAGTAAAATAACCAAGATGATATACAGAACATTCACTAAAAGTAAAATGCATTGCTCGACTCGACTTCTAAACTCTAATAGAGCAAATCCAACAATTATTAACGAAACAATAAGTAAAGTTCTGGGTATAAAGTTCAACGTCCAGCATGATCCAAGTAAATTATAGTAAGTTTTAACAACTTGTGGTAGATTTCATCAATTGGTGAAGGGCCCTTTAGGGATCAGCCAATATTGGTTACTTTGGCTTTGGTTATTCAAAACCAAAAATCCTAAAATGAACAGCCCAAATAAAATAATCTGGTTTTGGTTTACCAAAAATCGAGGAATTTATTTAGTTTTGGTTTTACCAGAAAAGATTTTCCCACAACGATATTGAACCAAGTTGTGTAGGAAATTCTTAACCAAACTAGAGAACTTGTGAATGTACCTCTCTGCAAGCATGGCGGAACCCTCTTCAAACAACTCTTCGACAACACCAACAGCTGAAAGCTTATTCGCTGCCTTGTTAGTAGAACTCGGAGATTTCTTTCCAATGAAGAGTGAAGCGAGCATATTGTTCTTTTTCCGGGGTGTTGTGGGTAAGATAGGACGGTCTGATTGAATGATGTCAACAACAAGACATGTTGTATCATCCTTCAAGCCCCTTGACCTTAAAGCCTCCTGAAGATCCAACCAAAACTAATTCTTGTAGGAATCTAAAAGAATTTTATATGGGAATCCATCTAAGATATAGTCTCACCTTAACAACTAACTTAACAGCAAGCTCTGCAGGTAAACCTCGACAAGACTTGGCAGCCATATCGGAAGATAAGGCATCCCAGATACCATCTGAAGCAATGATCAGTCTTCCACCAGCATTCGAGAGCTAATAATCCGAACATGTGCTCATAATAAGGTACTGGTTACAGAAAGGTTTTCCTCTTATAATTAAGGCCAAAAGATAAGGTCAGAACTTACTTTCACTTGTTTAACATGTGGTATTGGAACGATGTACTCCCCGACGTCAGTGTCACCAATTGATCTCGATAGGCATAACCCACCAGGCCAGCACCGTAACGGACCAACCTGCAAATAAAGATAACGTAAGGCAGACTGAAGCAACAAGTAAAAAAGGAGAAAGATGATTTCTCTTTGGTTATTAAACATCTCAAACATAAGTTTCGGAAGATGGATCAGATTGCATTCATCTATACCTCATTACCCCCAAAAATATTGAGTCTTCCAACTTCTCCACCACTTGCAGTCACACGCTCCCTCTCTTCGACATTCTCTTCAAGCCTATGATCAACCGTTAAGAGGGATACTATGCCTCCTTGAGTATCCAATATGCATCGAGAATCCCCGACAGAGGCAACAGTAATCGTCCATCCATCAATGATAACAAATGTCACGGTCGTTCCAGAGGTTTCACCTATCAGTTTGCAAAAAACAAAGATTAGAGCCATTTTTATAAGATGTAACTGGCAGTGACAAGTGGAACAGGATAAAAGGTGCAGACCTCTCTGCTGAAATTCTATATCAGTCTTCACAAAACCAGCAACTAGTGCTCGAGGAAGGGAGTGAAGCCATTCTTCTCTACTAGCTCCTAGAGGAATTGCATTTAAGACATTGTCCAATAAGTGCTCCTTTGCAAAAATGGCCGCCGAGATGCCATTGTGTCCATCGAAAATCTGCAAACCGAAACAAAGTCGAGGGTTTTAGATACTTACAGTATCATGACCACAACCATCCTATTTTATGTGAAAGGGAAGAGATTGGTACCGCGAAGACAGAAAACGAAGAAGACAGGTTTCCAGGAATCCTTTGGCAATCGGTTTTAACTAAGAAGTAATCCTCCCCTTTCTTTGCAAGAGCAGCTTGTCCATACTTCACGAAAGGTTTCTCAAGCTTCTCGTTCCTTAGCTCACGACCAATTAAGGCTGCGAGTGGAACAAGAGGCGGCTTCGCCCTTGGTACTTCGGCCTGGCTCATGGTAGTAGTTCAGGTGTCAACATTTCCACAACCCCATAGGCATAACACTATCCATGCTGTGAACCAAATTCCTTTAAAATTTTAACCACCTTCATATTTTAACAACAAACAGATAAATGGAGACGGATTCGGAACTAGTAAGCTTGGGCACAATCAAGAAAAAGAACCTTAATTCCTTTTCTATCATTAGATAATCTCAATCACAAGTCTTTCATGACATGCAATTCCCTGCACTTCCTTTAACTCAGTGAAGAGCAAGTAATTGACCAGAATTAGCAAGACTGCACGCAGAAGTTCATCTCAACTTTCACCAGCTAATCTGAAATTTAGTTGATCTGACATTGGAACTCAACATCATCGCAATGCATTCAGATAATCTATAACAGCAAACTAAAACCACTCAAAACCCAGAAAAGAAATTAACACATGGAAAAGAAAGAAATCCCTTATTCAACAGAATTCGCAGAACTAATCTCCGCAACCAAAGAAATTCAACTTTTTCACGTTTAACCTTTCTGCCCCAATCTGCCCCAATCTACCTTCCACGAAAGGCATAAAATTCACACCGAACTTTTCAGCTGAAGAAAAGAAAACACCAGAAAGAGCAACTCACAATGGGAACATGGGTAGGCATTAATAGATCCAACTTTGGCGGTAAAGGATCTACAAGCTCTCCATTCCCCAGCGGCAAAAAACGCCAATTTCAGTGAAATGAGCTGCCCGGAGAAGGAAAAATTGCAGCCGGAGAGATTAAAGAGAGAGAAAGAGGAAAGGCGGAAGTGTTACACAGAGAAAGTGAGCGAATTTACAGGTGGGTTTTGGTGATTTGATAGGAGGAGAAATCTAGAGCGAGAGAGGACAAAGAAGAGGACGACGCGGGTGAATTTTTTTTCTTCTTGCTTTTTTCTTTCTCTTTCGGTGGGAGGAGTCGATTTTTTTAGGGTAAGAGTCGATTTTTTTTAGGTTAATACCCAATTAGTATGAAGATTGGTGTGAGTGTAAGTTTTGGTTCGAATTTTTCAATAATATATTTATTGTTAACTTTTCATATTTAATAAACAAATTTAGTCCGAAATTTATGTTATCCGTTAAATCTAATGATAAATGATTTTTCCAGTTAATGGCTCAGCAAGTATCCTATGCTGATTAGGATTGTACATGTAATTTATTATTTAAAAATAAAAAGAAAAGAAAATTAGAAAAACCCTTGTCTTTCAAGCGAGAACATAGATGAGGAGACGGGAAGACAACTCCTTCGAAGGGAAACATAGTAGTGGTGGGCATTTGGCCGGTTCAGTTTCGACCGCACCAAAATTATGTATATCAGGTCCCTGAATTCCACCAAAACTCAAACCGAATTCGAACCAAATTATAATTCGGTTCAGAATTTCACACAAAATAGAATTTGTGAGGCTACTTGTATCTTCTCCTTTTTAAATTAATTTTCACCCCTAATGTAAACAATAAATATGCAATTATATGCATCATCAATGATAAAATCAAACATTTCAACACATAAAGTTATAAAACACTAACATGATTCAAATATTTAAGTCTCTAAACAAGTACAAACATAAAAATCCACCATTTAGAGCTTGCAATTATAGTAATTCAATTTTTCGGTCGGAAATTCGGAATTTTGGTTTGGTTGAAAGAACCCTTGTTCCCAAAATATTCATATTTCCCTTCGGAATTTCGAACCGAACAACATTATTTCATTTTCGGTTCGGTTTAATTAAGTTTCGGGTCGGTTCGTGTTTACCGAACTGGTTGCCCACCCCTAAAATAGAGTTGGCATCTGGTGGGTTCAGGCATGTTTTCCGGGCCCGAGTTCTGCCCCCAATCTGTAACCCAGTACGCTTCTCTGGCCACCAAACGACCGTCAGAGTCTCTTGTGATCGGAATCATGAAGCATCTGTTGACATTGGAATGGAAGATTGAGTACAAGAGCAACGAGAATAGTTTCAGATTCCCGCGAGGATCTGGAATGACTGGGAGAATTCGAGCAAGAGGGAGGAAGTCGCGATAAGGAACTACTGGTTGAGGACGGTGAAGACGGAGAGCTCTAGGTGGCGGAGAACGACGAGGAAAGTGTCGATGGGGAAGCAGAGGAGCCACTGGAGGCTGTTGTAGTTGTTGGTGCAGCGACGCCACATCCAACACATCTCGCGAATCTCGGTGGCCGCGGAGAGGAGGGTGCTGGCGAAGATCAAGAATGTGGTGAGGTTGTGCGCGGCGGGTATGGGGCCAAGGGGGACTTGGCGGCGGGAGGGAGGATGCGGTTGAGAATTTTTTGGGGTTTAACGGCGGAGGAATTAGGTTGAGAGGTTCGCTAGAAGAGGGGGAGGGAAAGTAAGTCTTTTTCCTATTAGTTGTCTTACCAGAAATTAGGTTTCAAAATTGTCCACCTAATCACCCTGAAGAGCAGTGACTTAGCGGCAGATTTGGGTCAGGAAAAGTGAGGGATTTGGGAAGCAGATTTTTTATTTGTGAGAGAGATAATTGTCTGTGTATTGAATTTTCTTCATAACCCGTGCGTTGAAATTTTTGAAGCCAACATCCTTTCCATTTTTCTTAATTAATTTAATTCGATTTCATATTTTTATATTCAGATTTTTTAATAATTTTTTATATGAAAGTCAGATCACTGCCACCTCAGCACATAATGCTGAGTCACTAACGGAAAAAAGTATTGACCATCAGTTTTTACAATTAACATAAATTTCGGGTCAAATTTGTCCATTAATTTGTAAAGTTGGCCATAAATGTCTTTTCGGGCCTAAACTGACACTTACGCCAAACTAGGGTATTAACCCATTTTTTATTATAAAAAATGGTAGTCTGATAATGACGATTAGCGTCTTTACTAATCTCCTCATCTTCTAGGAGACTAGTTTTTACCTGACCGATTGGTTGGATAAATTTTGTTTTATTACTTTCTTATTGTTACATGTTAATTAATTCATTTATATTATCAAATGATTTGGAATTTTCTAAATATTTTTTTTGGTAATGTAGTCATTGGAGTATTTGACTCTCATACATCCAGATTTTTTTTACAGAAATCTGTCATCATTTTATTTATGAGAATTTGCGGCTACATCATCTTGCTTAATCTGATCAATCAAGAAAACAGGGGGTCTATCTAGCCAAACTTGTCTCTCATTCCACCTTGTATCCGAATGGGCCATTATATGTGTTGTTGCGTTGCCCTCTCTCTACAGTCTATGCCGATTCTGTGTGAATCCTCTCAGCGTTGTCCAACTTATTGGTCAATGTAAGGCAGTCCGTCTCCAGAATCGGGTTGGGAAGTGAGAACTGTCGGGCTAATTGCACCCCCATCTCTGCAGTTAAGGCTTCCGCCATTTCATGTTCCCATTGTACAGGGATTTTCTTTGCCGCAGCAAGGATGAACTGCCCTCCATAATCTCTAATCACCACTCCAAAACCAATCCCTCTTGTAGCCAAAACTGTCGCATCAGAATTGATTTTTGTCCGCCCCTGCGCTGCTTGCGCTCCTCCTCCCTTGTCCCTCTATGTTCGCTTTCCTGTCTTGCTCAATAATCATCAAGGAAATATTTAGCTTGAGTGACAATCTTTGATTCCTCCAAGTTGATGCCATTAAATTGGTGGGCATTCCTCTCCTTCCAGATGAACCAGAGAAGGACACTCCAAGCTTTCACGGTGGCCTCATCTTGGGACTCCATCACCTTCTGCAACCAAGTGTAACAGCAAGGGCTCTTTCAGTAGATGAAGCAGTCTGCCAGCTTGGACTGACGCAATAGTCGCGTTGTCCTCTCACATTTCTTTTTAGCAATACAAAGGAGTATTGTTTTTGCCTTTTCATATATATATATATATATATATATATATATATATATATATATATATATTTTATCACAACGGGAAATAAAAGGACTTAAAGAAAAAAAATTGACACTCCTGGACCATTTAAATCCACATGTGTACGGTAAGTTGGCCCGTTCCCTAGAGGAAAAAGAAAAAAATTGACACTGCATATTCTACCCTTCCTACAAACGCTCCTGGAGCAGAGAATTTGAAATGGGGGAATAGTTTTTTTCCTCTCTGCGATTATATGCTTTTAATTTAAAAAGATACAACAAATGTACTTAGTATGATTGGTTATGATCTTTGCTTTTCTTTAAAGTGTTCATAGTTCGAATCCTAGTAAGTGTCTTTTTAACGAATAAAAAAAAGTAATTGTGAAGACCAAAATGCCCTTCTTACTTTCACTCTGGATACAGGAAATTTGAAATGGGACTTTAAGTTTTCTCATTGGGCTTTTATTTATTGCGTAGATTCGTTCCTAACTAATTTAGCTTGTTCCGGTTGCCTAACCTGTCGTTCCTATTACATACATACGAATAATACCAGAAGCAACATCTATCCACCCACAAAGTTGATAGAAGAAGTGGAACACCCCGATATTTGGGTTTAAGTTCGACCATATAAAACGAATGGTTGTATTGACGGTCACATACAAAGGGTTACAACCATAAATTAAGAATAATAATAATAATATTAGTACCTATTATTGTTATTACAAACAAAATAAAAAAAGGAGAGGAAATTCCACACCCGTTAGTTACCCTCCTTCCTCCTCTCACGATCCATTATTCCATCTCCCATCTCTCTCTCGGCTGTTCCCAAAAGAAGAAAACCCCAGTCGTGTCCGTCTGCCTCCCCGTCTCTACGAAACACTGCCTGTATACGCAACTGATAGATGCTCCTCGTCGTCCCTCTCTCTATCGTTAGTACAATCTTCGCCGGCGAATTGGGAGTGCCCAATGACGATGCATCCACTGTCTCTCGGAGGATCGAAGTGGTGGAGAGGATAGAGCTAGACTCCGAGCGAAGGGGAAGAATATGTGAACGTCATGGAAGTCGGCAACGGATTCGGAATGCGATGGTATGTCAAAAGTATATGGCCAGTCAGGTGAGTGCAAAAAGGGGTAAAATCTTCATCGAGGTCTTTTAGTTTATCTTTTTCATTTCAAGTTATGCTAGTTAATTTATGAGTTTGCGCGATTATGTGTGTGAGGCATTCCACCACCTACTTAAGGTGGAGGCACGCGTTGTGCTATGTATGTGATGTATGTAAGATGGGACCCCCGAGCGGTTGGGCCACTACTGGACGCGGTAGATGGTCGGATCACTGCTGGCCGGCGATACGTAACGCAGAAGTTGATCGAGGATATTGGGTCACTACTGGACGACGATGTGTAACGCAGTAGTTGACCGGGCATAGACTGGACGGCGATACGTAACGCAGTACCATTTCCTTAAGGATAGGGACACCGGACGGCGATACGTAGCGCGGTGGTCCCTAGTATTTATGTGTATGAGTTAAGGATAGAAGTAAAGAACTTCTATAAGATAAAGTTAAGAGTATA